ATAAATTTGAGGAAATGATTTTATTATATCACAGAATTGTTAAGGACACTAATATATAATCAAATTTTGAAATATATATTTGGTAAGCTTTTCTCACATGGTCAGTTAGGGATGCCTGTCTCTTTATGCATTTCTCTGTCTAATACACACACACACATGGTTGTATCTAAGAAAAAAGGTAAAACATGGTATAATTAATAAGTGTTAATTCAATTTCTTTGATGCAATCCTACCATAAGATATATAGTATAGTCCTACCAGTATAGCAGTTCTTGCAAGCTGTTGCTAGTGAATTGAAATCCAACTAGTGATCCTTATTATTGTTGCTTTGTTATAAACCAAGCTAAAATTAGAAAAAAAAATATAAAAAGTTGATGCAGAATATACTAATGGCATCTTTTGCAAAATGTTTAAAAAAAATCTTAAAAGTGTGTTTGCTGTTTACTCAGCTCTTTTTTATTTGTGCACATGTACTTTCTAAAGATGGATTTTTGTGGAAAAGGGATATTTTTTTCTTTATTTTGGTGAAAGCCATTGATAGTGAGTTTAAATTCAGTTGGTGACTGCTATTATTGTTGATACAGAATTTAATGATAACATCTTTTGTGCAATGTTAGAAAAATTTTAAAAGCATCTTTGACATGATACTCAGCTTTTCATTTCTTCTGTAATCAGCTGACTGTTGTATGCCATTTGCAAATCTTGATTTGATTTCATTTGTACAGTCCTACCATAATATATATATATATATATATATATATATATATATATATATATATATATATATATATATAGAGAGAGAGAGAGAGAGAGAGACAGAAAGAATGAGGAGGAGAGTGCCTGCAATAAAATAGTTCTTGCAGGCTGTTGTTAGTGAATTGAAATCTAGCTGTGATCTTTATTATTGTTGCTTTGTTATAAACCAAGCTAAAATTAGAAAAAAATATAAAAAGTTGATACAGAATTTACCAATGGCATCTTTTGCAAAATGTTTAAAAAAATCATAAAAGTGTCTTTGTTGTTTATTCAGCTCTTATGTCATTTGTAAGTTTTTGAAAAAAATTCAAAAGCCAAGAAAATCAATTCCATGTAAACTTACAGAACTGAATGTTGGTCAGTGTTTAAAGTTTTTTCTTTTCTTGCTCAACAGAAAAAAATAATTTTTTGGCAAGATAGTAACTGGGAATGAATACAAAATGAAGAAAAGTCATGGCTAGATCCCGGAAACAACTCAGTCTGAATAAAATTTATTAAATTTGGTGGTATTTAAAGGTAATTCTTTATTATGAATTGTTGGAATTTGGACAAACTGTTACTGTGTGATGCTACAGTGATCAATTGGCATGTTTGAATAATGTGTTAAAGCAAAAATGATTCTTACTGGTGTCTTTGCAACCTGACAATGCTCGACTTATTGTAAAAAAATATAATCACATGGTCATGGAGCTGAAATGGAAAGTTCCACTTATATGCAGCTTGTTTTTCAGATTATCATATCTGTTACTCCATTCAACATGCCTTGTCAGGTCTGCAGTTCCAAAATTTCAAGATATTGAAAAATTCTGAAAAGAGTTTCTTGAATCAAAAGTAGAAACATGCTCTTATTATGGAATACAAAAGCACTGGCATAAGTTCAGAATAATGGTGTTATGAATTTATATGAATAAGATTTTATAAAAAAAAATAAAGCCACTGATATCCTAGTCTGGAATTTATGTTAACTTGTAAAATTTTCTTAATAAAAATATTAAAGTAAGGATTAAATTATATATGAAAAATAAAATATATCCATGCTTTTTTATCAGAAAATAGGGGAACAAGATCATATTAAACAAACATATTTAAGTCCAGAGTTCTAAAATTATCTTAAGACAGTTCATTGTTTAAACTGGTTGTTTTCATCCTCCCATGCATTTTCAAATGGAGATTGCTGTAAACAGAAATTAAATTAAATTCATGCTTTTTATTTATAAAAATAGAGGGTCACATTAAATATTTGATCACATTGTACAAAAATATCCAAGTCCAAGATTTACACTCTCTTCTAAAAATTTCTTCATGATAAAACAATGCATTATAAAAAGTGAATGCTTTTGAACTTCCATTCATTGTCAAGTGGAAATCATATTAAATACAAAACTAAATTATATTCATATATTTTACATTCAAAAACATAGGGTGCCACATTATATTGGAATTGACGTACAAGAATAAATAACAATTTTGATCCTATTTTTAATCAAATCTTGACACCTAATAATTAAAGGTTTAGATTGCAATAAATTTTATTTGTGTTCTTTATATATATTACCTACATAAGGCAATGGTTGCTTCATTGTCATACACACATATATATGAGGGAGTGGTGAAAAGTTCTTGGTTTGTCTTCCTTCCTTAAATCTAACCAAACATTAGAATTTTGGGAGGAATACCTTGGTCAGACTTTTCAGCAACCCCTTTTTGTGTGTGTATATATATATATATATATATATATTTTCTGTTGTGCTGCTATGAAGACCCCTTTGTAAACATTTGTTAATCTCTTAGAAAGTGGTTACTAATGAGATATGTAGGGAGTGCTAACAAGATATTCCACAAAAATATGATATTTATTCATTTGGTTAGAATTTGGGAAGTGAGTCAAAATAATAATTTTTCAGCACCTCCCCTCATATGCATGTTCCCTCAAACATTGCTATCTTCTTGGTAGTCACAAAGTATTGAAGAAATACCAATATAAAATACCTACTCATACCAGTGGTAAAATCTGCAATCATTTGCACTACTCTGATTTATTTTTGGAACAGTGGAGAGGTATAGTCTGGGGAATGGATCTCCAGTATAAATTTTTTTTTTTTTTTTATTACTGCTAAGAGAAATGTTAGTTATTAATTATGCTATTCACAGGACTTTTTTCTAGTAAAAATGCAACAAAACACCAAGAATAAAATACCTTGTAGCATACAAATAACTGCAGACATCAGATAATGCTGTGAATCTCACCCTCATAGTGCCGGATAGCAAACTCTGTAGACTCCTCATAAGGCATAGGATTGCAACAACACCATACTGGGTGGGGCATTGTCGCAGCTTCAATAATGAGTAAAGTTTAAAGGATATGAGCTGCTAGGTTTAAATTCAAGAGATGTCCTCCTAGATTGGTTGCTAATTAAAACTAGAAAGCACAGCTTGCCTTACTATTCTACTCTGTTGGGGCTAAAAGAGAAGGATTCATGTCTTTTCCAAGGGCAGTACTGCAAAATGAACACAACAGACTTGGCCAGAATTTGAATTTTGCTTGCCAATTCATTTTCCACACCATTGTGCTTCTTTCACTTTCGTCAGATAGCAAACTGTCTTGACACTAAGTTCCCTGTATTATTACTGTTGATTGTAGTTCAAATTTATTTCTTAATTCAGTGAGAGGATGACAGACTTCAGGTTCATTGGTGAAAGTGAGTATAGCTGCAATGGTGATTGACAAATTCAGTCTGTGTGGCAATTAATGTTCCAAGAAAATAAAGACATCACTTGTCTGAGATTGATCTGATCATTGGCATAACATGCTGTTTGGAACTCTTGAAGTTGGTTGATGCAATGGTGCTCAAAGCACCTTGCACCAGTATGGCAGGTCTTTTGCCACTCTGAACGGCTTCTCCTAGGTAATAGAGGGAATGTTGCACACTTTGCAAAATATCTTTCTACTTCTTATACTCACTTTGTTGAGAATACACACCCTTGGTTAGCCTTCTGTAAAAGACAGCTGTCCACCATTTGAATGATGTGCTCTAGCCTGCTGAATTAACCCTTGATGAAAAGTACTTAGGGGCCTTGGATTCCACATCATTCAATTATATCTGTGTTAAATGTCTTTTCTATCCATAAAATACCACAGATTTTCTGGAGGCATCTAAGTTGATACTAGTTGATGTTAAAATACAAGGGATTTCAAAAATACCTTGCAGCAAGCACTATTACTACAGATGTTCATTCTGTTTTTATGCATCAGGGAAGTAATTGGCTTTGAGATGGATCCATAAACTTATATTACCTCAGAGCAATTTCCAGAGTGAGATGTTGGATTGAAATTTAGATAGATCTGCACAATATCTATTCCATTACAGAGTATTTTTCATAAGAGTTCCCAAAGTATACTTTGCAGTACATTGGTAATTACTGCATTGGGCATCAAAGAATGCTTATATTTTCTCATGCAAGCTAGAGACAAAGTCTTTAGCAGGGCTCTCCAGTTCCACAGCTACCTAATGATATGCAAGAGCTATTTTTTGAGAGAAAAAATAAATAAAAAAGTGATGAACTTGAAACAGGTTCATATAATTTTAATTTATAATTATCCAAGTTTATTCCTGTGCAAATATTAAACATATTTTTATGTGAGTTTGTAATGTTAATTGGAAATATTTTTTAATAAAACAAATTATTTTTCCTGAACATGCTGAGTGGTGTTGTTGATAATTAAAAAAAAAAAAACAACAGATCTATGATGAAAAGTCACCCAAATGTATGCTGAATTCACTACCAAGTTATATAAAGAGACAAAATAATTTTTAGTGTTAATTTATTTCAGGTGAGGATCGCAACACAATAAATTCACCTTTTGTAAAGTGCCTTGTACCTGTTATGACAGACCCAAGTTATATCTAACAGGTTCTTTATGTCATTTTTTTTTCTGAATATAAGAAACGATATCCAAATGTAAGTAAAACAGAAAACACAAAGAGTCTAAAGATAATGTTTTAAATATTTATTTCAAGAACATAACAAAATAATAACTCAGACTTAAGTTGTCAGAATTTCTTAGATGAAGCATTGTCATTGTTTTTAGTTTGTCTTTCTTTCATCTTATTTATTTTTTTTTTATTGCAACATTAATATCATTATATTCTATAATTATAAGCAGCATAGCAAAATAGAATGAAACAGTAAAAAAAATGTATGATAAATCAGGCTTATTTTGAATTTTGGCAAAATTATGGTTTTCATTTGCAGTTGGAAGTGTGGTTTGTTAGAAAAGAGGGGTCCCCGTAACCCAAATGTTGTTGTAGTTCCACAATTTCCTTGATGATGTCTTCATCTTGAAATCCAAGCTGGAAAAAAATCTTAATAATTAACACTTTCACATGACAACATTAAGAATGTGAGTGTCATAAGTTTCCTACTGTCCACCTAACACACATGTCTACATGTTAATTAGACAGGAAAAGAAATTTGTTTTGCACCAAAACAGATAATATATTACTCATTCCAATGCCAATTTAATTTGAATTTCATAAATAAAACCAAATGACTTGAGATTTTTTTAAAATATTTCACCCCAAACAAAAGAAAGGATTTGCATTTGAAAAGAAAAATTGTGTCCTGAACATTTCTTCCATTTCAAAGAGTAGACTAGGAAATTCTTGTTGGATACAAAATTTGTTCATTTCTTGTCGGTAATTAAGAAGATTAGTCAAAATTAAGTCAACATTAGCTTCTAGTATTATTGCACAAAAAGAAACAGTACAATAAAAGATCAGCATTCAAAGAGGCAGATAATGACTGAAAACAGTTTTCATAAATTCAATCCCTGTACTTATGTGTCCTAAAAGAATTCTAAAGAGAAAAATAAAGAATATTTTTATGCTAAAATGAAGGCTAAAAAACAGCTGTATACATTTGTAGGGATACAGAAGGTGCTTATCTCCCTTTGGTGGAGATGGTCACATGACTTTCGCTTCATGACGTAATCTATATAGTGACCAAAGCAGCATTCATTTTTCAGTTTGTGAACAGCAGCAAAATGGTAAAGTTACTTTCTTTTAGCCTGGGATAGAGGGGCCAGGCTGAGGATAACTGTCTTCCTAGTAGCTTACAAGCACAAGGTGCCATTTTCCTTTGGATAAATCCATTCCATTTAAATCTGGAGTCCTAAAAATGGCTTCTCCAAGTGGGGAGTATCTCCAAATTATATGTAAGACATTTCCTAATTGTTCCTCCTCATACTTTGCTTTGCTGTGTAGATATTAGTGATATATTGTTCTCTGTGTGGGATGTGTATATATATAATTTTGTGTACAACATAGCATTATAAAACTCTGAAAGCAAAGCATGTTTGTCATTCTTTTCCCTTTCAGCCATTCCATTCTGTCTGTGAAATATGGGTGTTATATCAATGCCCATAATGGGAGAAATGTAAATGGGAGAATAAATCTTTCTTCCTAGCTCTCATCTCATTACACATTTGAGAGAACAGAATTTTCAAAGGGACAATTTAAAAACCATAAAATACTTTCTATTTATCTGTAGAGTTTTTAAAAAAAGATTCCGCTACAGAAACAGTGGTGTATATAATGTTTTTTACACTTGATATACATTTTTAATTTTTTTAAATTTTCTTTTCTCCAAATGAGCTTTGGAATTTTTTAAAACTGATAAAGAATTATTTTTTAATTTTTACTTATTTAATTATTATTGCACAGTTTCAGCAATATTTTTTTATGAAAATGGGATCTATATTGCCTGCTATGTGGTTAATTATATTCTACATTCTACTTATTCATTGGTTAGAAAATTTGTGCCTGTAGTAAAATCTAACATAAAACTGTTCTTCAAAGCTCAAAACAGTATGAAATTTTTAATTGAATAATTGTTTACATTGAACCAAAAAAGCTGTGAAGATCAACCTTAACTGAGTTTAAAGTAATCTTACCTTCATTGCATATTTATATGATTGTTCTGCCTCAAATTTTCGTTCTTTCCTGAGACACACTAAAGACAGGTATGCCCAAACCTCAGGGTCCATATTGTTTAGGATATTAGCTTCACACAGAGATGCCTCTGCTTCAGAAATATTTCCCATCTGATAAAAATATAAAAATCAATGTCTTATATAAATAGTACAATATTTACTTGTTTCACCATGATTGACCTATACTTATTGTATTTCTGTCTGAATTTCTGGGATGAGGAGTTATCATTATTTACAGTTGGACTAATATTTCAGCTGAAATGTTGTAATACTAACAAAAAAAGACAAGGACATTAGTCCAACTGTAAATAATAACTCTTCATCTCAGAAATTCAGACAGAAATTAGTATGAACCTGATGTGATATACTAATTGCCAAAATATTGTGATAGTAACAACAAAGATGAGAACATCAGTATAACCAGAGTTTGTTCTATTTCACTCCCTAATACCTCCCACCTATATATAAAAGACTGACACCTTCAATAAAACTATTATTAGTTTGAAGAATTCCTTACTAAGCAGCCTTTCCACTTTGATGATATATATTATTTAGTGGGCATGTGGGCTAACTACTTAGAATGTTAGCACTCTGATCACAAGACCTGGGTGCATATCTCACCATAGTCAATTTATCAGGGAAGTGACTTCTTGATAATATTAGCCAAGAGTGATGATCCTGGTGTACAATCACACCATCTTTTGACCCAAGCCTTGTGAGTGAAATTTGGTAGATGAAACTGTTCGGAAACTGTCAACGGTTGTGCTAGCACAAAATCACAAGCCATCATGACTGAGGGTTTGTGCATACTGGCCTTGCTCAACTATTGATCATGCCAGATTATGAACTCTTTCCCAGAAATTGTAACTAAGGTCTGCTTATCATTGTTGCAGTATAAACCCCAGGTTGTCACTGTAGGTATCAAAGAAACACAAATGTGCCTGAGCAGATGTCTGCAGTAGAGATTAGCTAGCTACCCTAGCAGAAAGGCATAATTGGAAATGAGCAACCAGCCATATATATCTTTCAGCAATAATAGTCTATAAGAGTAACTTACTAATTGCAGTGAAGTACCCTTATTTACTAAGCTAAGCTTAATTTGGTATAAGGCCACAAATATACAGTATCTGGTGAGGACTAAACCTGCTATAATAGTAATGGTCTGTAATGGAAGCTTACTAAATACAACCTTAAAATGATGCTCCTTTTGGGTCATAATATATTTTATATCCTAGCTCTTTACCCTGTCATAAGTTGTGTGTTCAGTTCACAGAATATTGCATTGATAGACAAATGCTTGTAAAAACCAAAATGAAACTGATCTTTTTGTAAATATTCCTATTGGCTCGAAAGATAGTTATAAACATGCATCTAGCTTTTATTAGGAAGTTCTATGTCCTCATTTACCTATACATGCTTATTAGAGAAATAACACCTAGTGGATTCTTTTGTATTATGGAATATAAAGATTGTGTGTTGGTGTATCATAGGTAAGTGTTCACATGTAAACAATGAAAGAAGAAGCATAAAAATACTATACTATGGATCATTTACTCTTTTTTTATATATAAACTAAAGTGAAACAAAGTTCTCAATGTTTCTTGGGTATGTCCATTTTCTTTTTCTGGTCCTTTTGGGAAGTGGTGTTTTCTTTTTCTTCCAGAAGTTAGGGTAATTAAGGATAAGAATCATTATAATGGTCAAGCTCAAGTCATCCTTGTACTGAGTTGAAACAACCAAAATAAAATTTGTACTTACTTCATTGTTAGAGGGTTGGCATGTTTATAATGGTTGAGAAACAAGTCAGCCTTGTGCCAAGTTGGAACACCCAAAGAAAGGGTTGATTTACTTCATACTTGAAGGTTTTGGAAAACACATGCAAACACTATGCATTGGAAAGTGGAAAGAGAGTTCAGTTGTCAGCAAACTAAGGAAATGAACATGTCCCAGTGGGGTCATCCTCATCTACATCTACTATATCTTGGAACAAAGTGAAGAAAGGAAGAGGAAGGAAATGTTTCTTTTTTTATAGACTTAAACAGTGCCACTTAATAGGTGTTTGATGAAGCCAAGTGGGGTAATAAAATTTCTGATTCCTTTATTACTGGCATCATGGGAACATGTATTTATTTTTCACTTTTATTTATTATTACTATTTTATTTATTGATTTTATTTCATTTTTCCATAGCATACATATCATCTGACATTTAATTTTATTCATGATGTAATGGAATAACCTACTACCCCTATGAGTGGCGACACTATAGGTAGTAACTACCTATAAGTATCCGTTAGGACAGCGGACAGGAGAGTCGAGCAGCCTTCTGATAGTAGTATGCACACAACTGTACTGACTTGCGATGACTGTGCGCATAACTATTACATCCTTGCTTGTTGTACTGGTTTCTACAATAAACCTATTACTATTTATCCACCATGTTTGTCCATTCCATATTCCTATTATCACAGAATATAACAGTGGCGACGAGGATTGTTGAATTGAATTCACATACCAAATTTCAGTGACACCGAAACGAATTCACAAGAAGAGAAATAATTGTCAGCTATATGTTTGGTTTACAGGAATTTTGAAGTAAGACAACACCTTAGGATATAATATTTTGCAATTGGAGGAAGACTTTCTGAAAAAAAGATTTGCCACACAAAATCCTTTAAAAATAAGAATATTTTTGTTGTATTCTTTGTTTATTATTCAAAAATTACACAAGTAATTCGAGTTTATTGGAAGGCAAAATACGATGGTTGAGTATTTGTATTTTTTTTCCTTGTCTGTTGTTGATTTTTCTGAAACAACTTGTCGCGCTAAAAGTATGGAACAATTAACAGAGCTTACGAAAATGTTGTGCACTAGTGTTCAGCAACAACAACAGATAATACAACATTTGCAAAACCAACAACAACAACAGTTCCAACTTTTTGAAAAATTGATGATGAAAATTGGTGAACATAAAACTAGTTTCTTCTCTGCTGAAGGTATTGAAAATTCATTAACGGAATTTCATTATGACCCGGACAATGGGATTACCTTCCCGGCATATTTCCGAAGATACAAATCTATATTTACAAATAGATGCCAAGACTGATCAGATGAAGAAAAAGTTACCCTTTTATTACAAAAAATGGGGGCAGATGAAAATAAAAAATACTCTAACCTAATATTACGAAAGAAACCAGAAAAAGTCTCGTTTGAAGAAACAGTTAAAACCCTATCAACGATATTCGATGGAAGAGATAGCTTGTTTCACACACGTTACAAATGCCTTATTATCGTTAAGTCAGAAAACGAGGATTTTTTATTGTATGCTGTGATGGTTAACTCATTATGTGACCTTTTCAAAAGTGACGAGATTTCAAAAGATTTATTCAAATGCCTTATATTTGTTCAGAGACTAACAGCTCCCAAGGACAAGGATATCAGGTTGCAGGTTCTTACTATAATTGAAAAAGATGATGGGATTACTTTACAAAAAGTTACTGAAGAGTGTCAGCATCTGATTGACGTAAAACGAGATAATACTCAGATAGGGGAAAAAAATGTGTTCAAAGTTCAGTGTGTAAAAGCAAAAAAGGTCCCAAACATGAAGAACAAAAAGAAATGTAAATGTTGTGGAGGATTTAATCACACAAAAATAATTGCTGGTATAAAAACAAGGTATGTTTTGAATGTGGCTGTAAGGGACATAAAGAGTCCCAATGCTATAAAAGAAAGAAAAAGACCAGTGAAAAAGGGAATGTGATTCTTTCCAAAAATGAATTGGGGAATGGTGAAAAATGAAAGTATGTCAATGCACGTATAAATGAACATATGGTAACATTTCTTTTGGATTCAGGTTCTGATATTCGTATAATTGATGAACAGACATGGAGGAAAATAGATCGACTTAAATTGACTGACATGAACAAAATTTAAGGTGTAATCTTTCATTTTGTGATAAGGCTTTCAGGTCAAAAGTCTATGTACATAAAGGGAACAACTCCTGCCTTTTCGGCATAGATTGGATTGTGCTATTTAATTTATGGGAATTGCCTGTAAATTCTTTTTGTGATCAGGTGAACACCTGGGAAAAGAAAAAATTAAAACAGACTGAAAAATTCCTGCATGATTTGAAGGATGAATTTCCCAGAGTTTGGGTATGTGTTTGAAAACGGAGGTGAAATTTGAAATAAAAGAAAATGTTACACCGATTTTCAGGCCTAAAAGGAACATTTTATTTTCTTCATTAGATTCTATTAACAAAGAACTTGAAAGATTGGAAAAATTAGGTGTTATTTTGAGAGTGGATCACTCAGATTGTGTATGTTAAAAAGACAAATAATAGAATTAGAATATGTGAAAATTTTTCAACAGGCTTGAATTACTGTCTAAAAGACCACAGTTACCCACTTCCCTCTCCTGATGATATTTTCTCAAAATTAAATGGGGGTAAAATATACTCTAAAATAGATTTGTCAGACGCATACTTGCAAGTCAAAGTTAACAAAGAGTGTTCCAAGTATCTGACAATTAACACACATAAAGGATTATTTAAACTAAACCGACTTCTTTTGGTTTAAAAGTTTCACTGTCACTTTTTCAACAAATCATGGCTAGGATGCTTGCAGGGTTAGAATTTGCCATTGCTTATACGGATGAACATAAAAAACACATAAGGGCTATTTTCAACAGAATAGAAGAATTTGGATTCAAAGTGAACCCCGAAAAATGCGAGTTTTTTTATGGATAAAATTAAGTATCTTGGGCAGATTGTGGATAAATTAGGCAGAAAACCAGATCCATGGAGAACTGAAGCCATAAGAAATATGCCTGCCCCAGACAATGTGGCAAAATTGCAATCATTTTTAGATTTGGTGCAATACTACGCAATATACATTCCAAATATGTATGAATTAACAGCACCATTAAACAAATTATTGAAAAGGGGTTTAAATGGTGTTGGTCCAAAGACTGTGAAAAAGCTTTTTAAAAAATTAGAAACTGTTTAGCATTGGCAACTATGATCCAGAAAAAGAAATCATTGTTGCTTCTGACGCTAGTGAATATGTAATCGGAGCAGTGCTACTTCATAGATACGAAGATGGTTCAACAAAACCAATTGCACACGCTTCAAAGACTCTGTTGCTAGCAGAAAAGAATTACAGTCAGATTGAAAAGGAAAGCTTAGCAATCATTTTCGCAGTTAAGAAATTCCATCATTTCCTTCATGGTAGAGTGTTTACACTACAAACTGACCATAAGCCATTACTGACCATTTTTGGATCAAAGAAGGGCATTCCAACTCATATTGCAAACCGATTACAGCAGTGGGCTGTAACATTATTGAATTACCATTTTAAAATGCAGTACATCTCATCTAAAAATTTGGGTCATGCAGATGGACTATCAAGGTTGATTCCAAAACATAATGAAGTTTTGGAAGAAACTGTAATAGTGGCTTTAAAGGACAAACAAGAAATATCAAATTTGCTGTGTAATACTGTTCGAAAACTACTGGTGATGCTGGGAGACATAAGGAAAGCAGCAGAAAATTATAATTTGATTAAAAATATGAAAATACAAGCCAGGATAAATGAAAGAAGTAAAAAAGGAATTAAAATTTCTTCTTATTCCATATGCAAAGATATGCTAATGTACGCAGACAGGGTGGTGATGCCACAGACATTACATAAAAAGATCTTAAAAGAATTTCATATGGGTCATCCTGTCATATCTTGTATGAAATCTCTTATAAGAAGTTATGTTTTCTGGGCTCGAATGGATAGAAACAAAAATTTTGTGAAAAAATGCAGAGGTTGTCAGTTAGCTGCAAGAGCACCACCTGTTAAAACACAACCATGGCCAGAAACAGATATCCCCTGGACATGTATACACATTGATTATGCAGGACCACTTAATGGGTATTATTACCTGATCATTGTGGATAGTTTATTGAAGTGGCCAGAAGTTTTTAAATACAAACACCTAACTTCTAGAAATACTATCAGTCCTTTAGACGAAGTTTGAAGCCGCTTCAGAGTTCCTCAGTCATTGGTCAGTGATAACAGAACTGCATTTACAAGTAAAGAATTCAAAGAATTCTGTGCTTCGTTGGACATTGAAAATGTCATAACTCCAATTTACCACCCAAGGTCGAATGGACAAGCAGAAAAATTTGTCAACACGTTCAAACGAACATTAAAGAAAAATCAAGGGGTAGACACAGAGGAGAAAGCTATACAGAAATTCTTAACAGTATACAGGGTAACACTGAATGCAAACAATACAGCAAAATCATCACCTGCTGAGTTCATGTTTGCAAGAAAAATAAGGTCGATATTTGACAGATTGTTGCTTTGTACAAAAAACAAAATACGTAATAAAGAGAAATTCTTTACAAAGAAATATATGCCTGGGGATAAAGTTTTCTTTAGGAACTATCAAGGTGGAAAATGTTTCTGGGAGGATGGTATTATTTTAAACAGAATTGGAAGAATTATCTATATGGTAAAAGGGAAAAGATGGGTATGCAAAAGGTATATAAACCAATTAAGACCGAGATACTTGGAAACCATTCAACAGGATGATGAAGAAATTCCTATGGATGTCCTGTACGACACGTTTAAAATAGCAACACCCACTAACATACCAGAACACATGGCTACATCTCCTACACCAGCTTTGCCCATAGAAGCGAGATGTCATTCTCCTCGAAAGAGTAAAAGAAAAAGAAAACCAACAGCGCGGTTAAGCCCAGACCTAAAAAAGAGGAGGTATTAAAAAGCTGAATTTTCTAGAGGAAAATTTCAGCTTGGGGAGAGATGATGTAATGGAATAACCTGCCACCCTCATGAGTGGTGGCAATATAGGTGGTAACCACCTATAAGTATTCGTCAGGACAGTGGACAGGACAGTCAAGCTTGGATCTGCGTGAACTAGCGGCCTTCTGATAGTAGTATGCACACAACTGTACTGACTTGTGATGACCGTGCGCATAACTATTACTTCCTTGCTTGTTGTACTGGTTTCTACAATAAACCTGTTACTATTTATCCATCGTATTTGTCCATTCTATATTCCTATTAGCACGGAATATAACAATTCATGTACTTTGTGGTATCAGAACTTACTTTTTATATAGACTAGCATGTCCATTGCTGATTTATTATTCACTCCTGACCTGCAAATAATGATTAACTGAAAGCCTGGAAAAAAAATTAACAACCAGTTGGTATTTTCTTTGTATTTCCTTTGAAAATTATATTTGTTATGTATTTTTAGTTTTCATGTTAATTCTGCATTGATTCTGATTGGTGAATAAAAAATAACTACATCAGTATGAAGCATTGAGCTATTTTGTTGAGACCCGCGTGTAGTTACAAAGTATAAGTTTTTTCTAAAAGTATTGTTATTAAGTTATTGCTTATGGAATTTCTGCATATACCTACCCTGTAGCAAGCAATTCCAACACCCAACCAACTGACAGATGAAGGGCTTGATTGGCAGGCCATTAAAAATGTTTCTCGAGCTTTGTGAAACTAAAACAGAAAAATATGAAAAATTTTGAATCAATGACAAAGGGAATTTTCTTTTTCTACTTTTCTTTTTCATTAATAGTATTACTATTTTATAGTAATTATTATTATATTCAGTTTTATCACACTATAATCACAGATATTCTCCTTTAATTGCATGTTCCCATTTTTATTATCATTTTTTTTATTATTATTATGGTGGTTACTACTATTATTATTATTAGTAGTAGTAGTAGCAGCAATAGTATTTAATACTCCTCATCTTACATTCTCACATAAACACACCTATATTAACATGCTAATAAAACAGTAAAAAAGAGTTCTCATCCACACACCTCTCCCCTTATAATCAGTGTCATCTGACCAAAGTACAAGAAACTGATCCATAAAAAGGAAAAGGAAGAGAAAGAGACAATACAAATTACAAATTTTTATCAGGTACTGTAAGTAAAGGATTGGTGATTTTTGCATTGAGGTCATTAATTCTCATTAAATTTGAAATTTAACCCAGTTAAAGAAAAACTATTCAATATCAAACACTAACAAAAGCTATAGGAATAGCCAAAACTTTTGTAATAATCTTTATTGTGCTCAAAACTTATATATATATATACATATATATATATATACACACACAGTGGAGGGATATTTGTACACATACAAATTTTTAATGTATTGTATTTACAACTAATGAATAAACATACTTTTCATGTAATTAACTGTACACAGATGCATAATAGTTAAATATGCATAGAAAACAGAAAAAAAATTTGATTTAGTAAAAATAAATCCCTTTTATCCACTTTAATGGGTGAAAAAAGTATTTGTACAATGCAAATTTCAGATTTTAAAACTTTTAAATTGCTTTAATACTCTAGATTATTCAAGAGGAATATTCTAGAATGTTCCAATAATGTTATCAGTAGTTATTTTTAACCTAAAAATACAAACAGAACATTCTGTAACAGATATTCGTGCAAGGTTTTCATCATGGCAAGAGGTAAGGAATTGACAAATTCACAAAAAAAAACTGATTGTTAAGCTTTGGAAAGAAGGTAAAAGTTACAGGAAAATTTCAGACAACCTGAATATTCCATTTACTACCATTAGTTTATTCACTGCAAAGTATAAAAAACCCAAAACGTTGAAAACCAGGTGCTCCATGGAAGATTTCTTCAAGATCTTCAATGAAATTAAGGCATCAAATTAAACAAAATCCAATCATTACTCATCAAGAGTTGCAGGATGGACAATAAACAATGAAATTCTTAGGAACAATCTAATCATGCTTCCCTTGGAAAACTCCACTGCTATTGAAAAGACACAGAGATGCCAGGTTGAAATTTGTTCATGAATATAAGCATAAGGAAAAATTGTATTGGGAAAGAGTATTATGAACAGACGAAACCAAAATTGAATTGTTTGAATGTAATTCTAGAAAGCATGTATGGATGAAAGATAGTGATGCCTTCAAACAAAAGAACACAATTCCAACAGTGAAATTTGGTGGTGGCAGCATTATGGTTTGGGGATGTTTTTCTGCAAAATATCAGTAATAGATGGTAGAATGAATGCCGCAACATATAAAAATATTTTGGAAACAAATTTAATGATTTTGGTTGAAAATCTTGAACTTCCTTCTGATTGGATCTTTCAACAAGATAATGATCCTAAGCACACTGTGAAGAAATAGCTTGCTGAAAATAATGTAAATATCTTGAAATGGCCAAGTCAGTCCCCAGATTTAAACCCAATCAAGAATTTGTGGGGTTATTTGAAAATTCAAATTCAATCAAGAGCTCCAACAAATATCTTGGATCTGAAGACAATATGCAAAATGGAACAAAATACCAGCTAAAATTTGCAAATCATTAACTGAGAACTACAAGAAGAGGTTGGTTGCTGTAGAAGTGAATAATGGCTATTCTACAAAGTATTAAATGAAAATTATGTATTCTTTTTTGTACTGTACAAATACTTTTTTCAACAATTAAAATGAATAAATGGGATTTATTTCGATTATATCAAATTCTTTTCTGTTTTCTATGCATATTTAGTTATTATGCATCTGTGTATAGTTAATTATATGAAAAGTCATTTTTATTCATTAGTTGGAAATACAATAAATTAAAAATTTGTATGTGTATGAATATTTGTTTCCCTCCACTGTGTGTGTGTGTGTATATATATATATATATATATATATATATATATATATATATATATATATATATGTGTGTGTGTGTGTCTTGAATAATGAAAAAAATGTTAAAAAATCAAAATTTCAGAAACACTGGTTTATTAATATTTTTTGTTTTATTATTTAAATTAGGTTCCTCAACTAGTTTTGGCCAGCATGGCCATCATTAGGAGAAAAAAAATAAATCCCTGCTTGTTAGTAGCAGTGAACTATAGGAGTGAATGACTGTCTTTGAAGAAAGTGAACTTTGTCTGCAGTTTTCATTTGTTTTTTATCGTTAATTTTAGTCAGTTCTTGTATTGGTTAAACAGCTTCTTTCAAGTTTTCTTAAATAGAGACTGGGAGATTCCTGAGTCTCAGAATTCCCTCCTTAGTCATTTTGACAGCTTTATTGGTTTCTGGGAAGGGGATGTGTGTGTTAAGTGTATGTTATTTTAGTTTTTTTGGGAGTGTATATGATGTGTGTATGTGGAAGATCCCAACACCTCTGCAAGCATGTCTGTCTAGTGTGGTTGAGAAATATGGGTGGGGATTGATCTATGGGATTATATATTAATTCTATCTGTGTTGTTTAGTCTGTAGTTAAGCCCATTGGGGCACAAAATCATTTGTCTTCATGTTCCTGTAGTATTTTTCTAAGGTTATATTTTGTGTATTTCTATTTTTTCAATAATAGTGAATTTTTCATGGCTATTGAAATCATGTTTTTTACATGGAAATGTTGTTCTACAGGTAATAATCTTTCATGGGGAGCTGACTTGGTCTGATTCCGATAATTATTAATTGTGTAGTGATAGGGCCATTCAGATTTTCCTACATATTGTTTCTGGCATTGTGTGCATTCTAATAAGTAAATTATGTTATGCCTTCTACAGTTAGAGTTGTGTTAGATTTTGAAAGTAGTCTTAGTGACTGAGCTAGTGAATGAATTGGTATGTCATATATATATATATATATATATATATATATATATATATATATAAGCAAGTGTAAATGGATATAAATCCGACAGAATGTAGAAATTTTGAAAAACAAACAAAAATCCATAAATGTAGTTAAAATGAAAGAATTGTCGACGTCAGACGTTTCGGTTTTAATAAACCATTTTCAAGACAAAATTCATTAAAATACAAATTCAGTTCAATATGACGAAAACGATGGACATAAAATTAAAATTGTCAGTTATCTGTTTTACTCTTGGATAAGACTTGTGTTTTTATGTCCATCGTTTTCGTCATATTGAACTGAATTTGTATTTTAATGAATTTTGTCTTGAAAATGGTTTATTAAAACCGAAACGTCTGACGTCGACAATTCTTTCATTTTAACTACATTTATGGATTTTTGTTTGTTTTTCAAAATTTCTACATATATATATATATATATATATATACAGGGTGTCTGACCAAAAGTGACATCATTTTGTAGTCTAATAACATAGCCAATTCTCACTCAAATGATGTCAAATTTTAACAAAATGTGTAAAAACAAACTAAGCTGATTGTGCAGACCTATCTCAGTGAGAATCTGCCAGTGATAATGACAATATGCTGTTGAAAATGGACACCATATTCACCTGACTTAACACCTTGTGATTTTTTCTATATACCCACTCTTTCTACAAACCTAGAGGAACTTAAGCAGAGAAAATCCCTGAGGTACTGGAGAATATTACACAAGACATGCTATATATATATATATATATATATATATATATATATATATATATATATAGTATGTCTTATATACATGCTATATATATATATATATATATATATATACACTGTCATCTCACACACACACACAAAGGGACATATATATATATAGTTGTTAATTTAAAGGTTCTGATTGAAACAATATTAAACATCAACAATATTTTTTTATATTAAAGCAAATGAAGAAAGCAAATATATATTACCATTTTGTCTTGGAGGTAAATGGAGGCTAATCGTAGATACACTGGATGCATATCAGTGGCATCATTTACAAAGGCCAGTGTACGTTTATAGCAGCTTTGGGCACCTTCAGCATCTCCCATAAAATATTTTACATGCCCAAGTAAGGCCCATGTATCAGGTTGCTTAAAAAATAATTTGACATTTATGAAAAAGATTATCAGATGATAAAAAATGTGACAGAGAGATCTAAAGGCACATTGGAATAGTAAAAGAGACTTTTCAGAGGCTAAGCAAAGTATTAAGAGATAGGAAAATTTCATTATAAACAAAGAAAAAAGTGCTGAATTGCTATGCAATACCTATCCTCCTATATGGAAGTAAATACTGGACAATACAAAGAATTTTATCTTAACAATTCTTGTCTTCTTTTCTTTCCACCTCACTGGTGCTACCTTGTTATTTCATTTGTTCACTTGTACAGCCGTATGCATTTATGATACCCAGTTACAGCTTATATATTTTCTTTATAATCTGGTCTTTAGTTTTTGTTATAATTCAGTATTCTGAAATGATACTATTTTAGTTGAAGAGAAAGACAGCTGGATATTTGTGTTACTAGTCATTATTTATATATGTAGATTTCAGAAAGCAGTAAGGTTATAACAAACAAAACCCACCAGCTCTATAGCATATAAAAAACCTGGCATCAAATGAGTCCCTTTTCACTATACAATAGTTTTAAATCACGGATTTTGTTTCATCAGTAGAATCCTTAATTGAGTAAAGACTAAATACATTTTCATTATTCTTTATTATTATATTGCATTAAAATAGTATAAAAGTGCAATTATATATTTTTTGAAAGTTCTTGAACTTCTCCCATATTGAATTTATTTTTCAAATTGAAAGCCATTTTATTGCATTTGTTTGAAGTTTTTCTTTTTTTTTTCAATAATATAGTTGTAATAATGAATCTGATTTGAAATATAGAAAATTTTGCATCGTCTGGCCTTAATTGATTTTAAATATACAAAAATGCCTTACTTGACTAAAGATTAGATTTATACAGAATTTATTGAAGAATTTAAATGTTTTATTAAACTTATTGCCAGAGGAAGGTGTTCTTGTCCTTGTTCTAATGTTGGTCTTTTTATGTAACTTTTAACCATTTTTGACACTGAGCCTAAAGAATATTGCTTAACTTTGTGAATGTTGTTTGGTTAGATTTCAAATGTAATTGCCAATGCTAAAAATTAGATTGTTTTTACAATGATCATTTTGCTGTAACTTTAAATTTTATTAAAGCTTAGCCTGGATATTAATGTTATGTACCGTGTATGTTTGCAAGAGTGACAAACAAAAAACAACAAAGTATTGCTGGTGGGGGTGGAAAGAAAAGGAAACAAATCTGTTAAAATAAAATTATCTATATTACCATTATAATTGATCAAGGTAGAATGTCTCTTTTGTAAGTGAGGGGGTTGGCCTGGAAGATGACACAGTTAGTTGTGGACGGGCCTGACATTGAAGCTTGTGTCAGGTCAGTTAATAAAAAGGCCACTGATGAACTGCCTATATACTGACTTTAGTGTCATCTGAGCAGGTCCTTTTAAGCAGACAGGAAGTATACATGACTCATTGTTTTTTGTCATATGTTTACTTTAGCGGTAATGTTTGTGATTGATTCTGACATTTAAATTTTATTTTATATTTTGTTTATTTTATTTTATGAGCCAGAGGCAATGCTTGAAGCCTCTACACAAGGAGCGACTTTTTTTTATTTGTAATTTTATTTTTGTAGCATTCACATCTGGATGACAGGTTTTGGTGTGGAGTGGATGAGAAAGAGGTTTAATTTGAAGCACAGTATAGCATTAACAAATTAAATGTGTGTGTGTTTGTATGTGTATGTTGTTACGTTAGGCCAATAATTGTATCCCCACCTAAGATTTTACAAGTATATTTTTAATACCTTACATATTTGCGATGAGATATGAGAATAACAGTCGTCTCTTTATTTATTTGAATATGCAGATTATGGAATATTTTTTTGTACCCGGTTAAACTAAAGCCAGTTCTTGGAAGAGGACCTTCCTTTCCCTCACCTCCTGTCTGGTCTCTGATCGCAGGCCAGATGAACACTGCTTGTCTGATAAGTACAAGTAACCCTAATAGTGTTCAATGGATAACGCCTACTCACTTTCATATGCTAACATGTGACTTAACCCCTAACAGTTTTTTTTCGTGCGTGTCGGGATATAACAACTTCACTTTGCTGTTTGCTTTCAGAGGAATCGGACGTCACCAAAATTGGACAGCTGTTTGCTTTCAGAGGAATTGGACGTCATCAAAATTGTACTTAGCTGTTTGCTTTCAGAGGAATTGGATGTCACCAAAATTGGACTTAGCTGTTTGCTTCCAGAGGAATCGGACGTCACCAAGAATTGAATGACCGACGAAAGAATCCTGAACGGTATTCTCAAACCCAAGTCGTCTATACTCCTGTGGTTTTTCTGCATATACTACTCGCCCTTGGCAAGGATTGAACAGCATTAATCAAGGACTCATATCAAGACATTAGCAACTCCACCTTTTTTGCTCAGAGAATTGAATGGACATCTGTTCTTTCAAACTTTATTTCTGCTAACAATTGATCAACGTTGATCCCTACAAATTGTAAGTCTTTACATGTTTATATATATATTCTATAATCTGCTATCACTATTTTTGTCTGTATTTCGTTGCATTGATATATGTTTGATCAACCAATTGTCCCCTCATCCTTTTTACTATTTAGTTTTCTTTTCTTTTCTTTAATTTAATACACTGTATATTTTATAAATAAAGTATTTTTATTATATGTTCTTGTGTTGTCTTCTGTTGTTCTGTGTCTGCATATTGTTCATTTTCTCACTGCATTCACTGACGTCTGGAATTGGAGAATTCCCCTCCCATCATTCTTTTCATCAATGTTACATTGAACCCTGGGATAATCTTGTTTATTTTTTTTTTATTTTCTTGTTGCGTCCTGGCTATCGTAATTCTCAATGAAACCCAGGGCATAACAATGTGTATATGTATTTCCATATTGATGTATATATGTGAAATTGATTTATTGATATATATAACAGCTAGTATCACTACTTTGTAACACACAAAACATGTCATGATACATTTTTCTGCATTCCTTATCTATAAGTAATGGAAGCCTGCTTAAATTTATGAGTGTTTTATGGGATAATTGATATGTGGCTGACCAAAATTGACAAAACCTGATATTGCAATGACAAAAGTATATTTTCAACATTAAAATATGACACACAACATTTATAGTAATATATCTACCAGACTAATGTATCCTTTTATCTATGTGTTTGTATATATGACACTATTCAAAAATGTGTGCCCACTGTTTTTACTTACTTCATAACTTATCTGTAATGCTTCCTCCAAAATCTTTTCAGCCTTAGGAAAGTCTTTTTTCAAAATGTTAATCTGTGCCATACTGATATAATATTGCAAAGATGGTTGGTCCGGTGTAAGGAGAAGTTCATGAGACAGTGCCCGTTCAGCATACTGTTTAAAAAGAATACAGAAGTAAGGTATCTAATTTTTATTAGGCGTTTCTATTATTGCTGATCTACAAGGTTTACTCACATTTTTAGATTAATGGTTGCAATGAAAAGTAGTCAAAATAAAAATTGGGATACTAGTCAAAAATTAATAACGGTTTTCAAGGGTGAATTCACATTAATGTGATATCATTACAAAATTCATTGTAATATGCTTTGTAGATAAAATTACTGTCATTATCTTTTCTGTTTTCAAGACTAAATTTATGTGTCTGATTGATTCTAAGGTGAAGCAACTAAACTAATTCGGAATATATATATGAGGGTGGGCTGAAAAGTTCATAGGCTGACTATGAAGGAGTGATGCTAGAGCTATGAAATCTTGTATAGATTAATTTCAACTCTTCTTATTAATAAATGCATTGTTTCTTTCCAGGAAAACTGACATCAAAGAAGACTGTTCATCCTGTTGCTCAAAAAATCATCATCAAAAGCCAAATGTTTTTTCATGCTGAGGAGAATAGGGAAAGTCATCAACCAGTTCAAAGCCACAGTCACACACAGCATCCATTGAAACCTAGGATTTGGATGCTAGAGCATTATCCTAATGAAAAAAGACTCCCTGTCATTAGTTTTATTAGGCATTTGGTCTTGATAGCTTTTCTTAACTTCTTCAGCAAGTTGGTATAGTACTCTCAATTGATAATGTGGCATTTTTGAAGATAATAAACACAATGACTTTTGCATCCCAAATAAACTGAGGCCATCACTTTCTCTCCAGATGAAACAACATTGACCTTCTTTAGAATAGGTGAAGTGAGATGATGCCACTGCATGAATTATCTCTTGCTTAAAGTGATGAACCCAATACTCACCTTGAGTTAGGAAACTTAAGTGGAAACTAGCTGGATTTGCCTCAAACAATGTCAGATTTTCTCATGATGTGATTGGCCAGTAATATGGAAACCACTGAGCAGAAACCTTCTTGATGCCAAGTTCATTGCATAAAATTTTCTCAACTCTCTCACAGGATATACTAATAGTATTGGCTAGTTGATTTATAGTCAATCGCCTATAATCCATGTGGTGGACACAATCAATGTTTTTCCCAGTGGTGGCACTCACAGAATGTCCAGATCTTCGGTCATTGCCAAAACTCTCCCTTCCCCTCCTAAATTCAGCTGCCCACTTTTGCACTGTTGATAATGTAGTAACCATGTCAGAATGAATGTCCTTGGGAGCTAAACCCTTTTTTTTTTGCAGATACTTAATAACACAACAAGGCCTAATTTTGTCTAGATTCAAGAGAAGTCACTACTTGTTACAACTGTAGTCTTCTTTGAACAGTCAGATGTCAGTTCAGCTGGAAAGAACCAATGCAGTTATTAATAAGAAGAACTGAAATTAATGCATGCAAGATTTCACAGTTCTAGCATTACTCCTTCATAGTCAGCCTTATATATATATATATATATATATATATATATATATATATATATATATACAGAATCTGTCAAACATATATACAAACTTCAGGAAAGGAAAATAGAGATTGTAATACTGAATTTATTCAGACCTCACAAGAT